CCGTTCATTGCAAACACATGAAGGAGATCTTTCTACATGCAGGTTTACTCTTTAGATCACAGTCAGACTCAGAGTAAATCTGAGGTTTAGCTACATTAGTTTTAACTTTTTGTTGCCAGGATCAACAGAGACTTGAGGTGGAATCAGAATCGTTACAGCTGGACGTAAAGAAACAAATAATCATTTTAAGATTTAAGTTTGAAACTCTCCAGATGCATTCAAAGAAAACATCTGTAATAAGACAAATAAGTGAAGGTAAAGCCATGTGTGTGATCCTACAGCTCCACAGAGCAGACACACAGGAGGAAACACTGACTTCATCAGGGACTATTTACAGCGGCGGATGAATCCACATGTGGTACTGTAGTGAGAATATTTGAGACTGTGTGTGTGTGTGTGTGTGTGTGTGTGTCTGGTGGTAATTAAGATACAGTGTGTAGTAAACTTCATACTGATGTGTTTATATCTCTCAGAGGCAGTGTGTATCCGGCTGTGCCACACACACACACACACACACACACACACACACACACACACACACACACACACACACACACACACACACACACACACACACACACACACACACACACACACACACACACACACACACACACACACCTCTCTGTTCTTTCAAATGTTCTTGAAATTCTTGTCTTTAAAGGAACAGTATGGAACATTTCCACCATGCGGTCACATATCGTCCTCCTTGCTGTGAGACGTTCTGCTTGTTAACAAATGCACAGCGTTGTCTATGAGGGGGCGTGGCTAACAGCACCATGTGTTTGAAGACATGTGCAGTTACACTCAGAGACCTGCGGTGGGCGCCAAAGCTCACCTAACCAAAGTTCTACTTATTGTTGTTTTAAATATGACACAAACGTATAAACTCAGCTTCTAGTCGATGAAACTTTTGACTCTATTTTCAGGTTCCTTTTCTTCTGTGATGAGAGACTCCTTCATCTGTCACCCCGTCTGACTCACAGAACTGTTCAGACTGTTTGTTTGTTTGTTGTGTTTCATTCAGTCGCTCCGATCACGTTAAACTGATGCTAACTATCAAACTGTTCCCCTGGAAGGATCCCTACAGAGATCGAGGATTTTGTCAAAGAGGAAGACACCCTGCTAGGGGTTATGTACTTTCTAACAAACTTTTGTGAACAGGGCTTCAAGCCCAAAGACTGTGTTATTGTGTGTTGCATTCAAATATTATTATTATTATTATTATTATAGGGGACACATTATGAAAAATCCACTTCTACAGTGTTTTTGAACATATATCTGGTAACCTGAGTGTCTACTGACCCACAACATGTGAAATAAACCCATCCAGTCCTTTGTTTGTGGTCTGCATAAGTCTTACAACACAGAGAAAAATGCTCCGTTTCAAATGTGCTCTCCTTGTGATGTCACAGTGGGATTCTGGGAGAAAAAAATCCCCTCCCCTCCCCTGATATCTCCACCCATGGACTCCATCCCCAGACTAGAACAACATTTTTGCTCAGGTCCACCATTTTTATTCTCTCTACAGAGGAGTGATGTCTACGGGGAAAACTCAGGGGGGTGTCATTGCATTTAAAGAGACACACACCAAAACGGAGCGTTCTGAGAGAGCTGGTTTATACAGGGTCACAAACCTCCTCTGGTGCTTGATTCATGTTATATTTTGACCAAAGCACAGCACAGATGTTTCATTTAGACCACAGGGGGAGTGTTTGAAAAGGTGGAGAAGGAGGGATAATATGTCCTCTTTAAAACAACAGTAAAACACATTAACTAACTAACCAGCACATAATATGAACCCTCGAAACCTGACCTGCCCTCCAGCCAGGACTTATACAGGCCCAGAGTCAGGAAACAGGCAGGTAGCATCACTGCAGACTTCTCAAACCCCTCCCCTCTGGTGGGCGTTACAGTTCAACAGGAACACCAAAACAACCCGACAAAAGAACAGTTTCTTCCCCCAGGCTGTCGCTCTAATGAACGCTAAACGCTGTCAGACCTGTCACTGTAAAAACAACAGTAACCCTGAAACCAAACGAGCTCTGTGAATGTACATAAGAATATTTAAACGTATTAATCTGTGCACACTCTTAATGTAAATACTGTAAAAACCCATGTAAATGACCCAATCTGTTACATAACTACATATTCTGTTATCATGTTTATCTCAGCATTTTTACACTACTCACCACTGCACTGTTGTCTCATTTAGTCCTGTAGTTTTTGTTTAGATAGTTAATATTATACTTTTTCTACACATAGAGCTCAATTCACTGAAGTCAAACTCCTCGTGTGTGTGTGTGAGCATACCTCACCAATAAAGCTGATTCTGATTCTAAACTTTGCTCTCCTCTGAAGATCTTTGTTGTCTCTTATTTTTCTCTCTTTCCTCTCGCTGGAACACGACCATATTCAAAATCTTTTTCACATCATTCGACCAGATGTGGGTATAAAATCTTATGCATTGTTTAGGTGTGAAGTGTGTCAGCGATAAAGAGCAGGAATAATCACGCCTGCTTTATAATGTGCTGACTCACTCTTTTAACTAGATCACTCCTGATTTGAATGCAGTTATGAAGCCGTCTGTATTGAGTAACACACTGCAGCTTGTGTTCAGGTATGTGAACATTTTTTAAGAGATGTGTTCTGGTGGAAAAACATCTGGATGGTTCTAACAGTGGGAAAGAAGACTATTGCTATTAAGTCATAGAAACATGAAGGAGACGCTGACTGGACTTTTTCTCGTCCTGGTGTCTTTAGGAACAGTCACATTAAACTTTTTCCATCAGATATCGTCGGGTACAAATATGGAATTCTAAAAGACACGTTGTTAACAGCTCTTCGTCTACAGAGATTTTTAAAAGGAAACTGTCTTCACAGTTAATCCACGAGGTCAACTTTTGCATATATTTTTTTTTCCATCAACTCACTCATTTCACTCCTTTTTTAATGCCTGTTTCATTTAGCTGATATAGGGTTCACATTCTCACACATTCTGACACAGCTTTTATGTTTTTGTTCATCCTATTTTGATGCATTCTTATATGTGTGCTAATAAATAAATAAATAAAATAAAACTCAGAGGGGATCATGGAGGTCGCTTGGAAAAGGTGCAAACCTCTTCAGTCGATGTAGATACTTCAGCAGTGTCTTTTAAATATAAATGCATAAATGACTCCCTGGCTCAGTCTGTAGTCCTTAATGTGACTCTTAGCAACCCTGAGGCCGCTCTGTGATTGGCTGAGAACAACTAAGAGTGTTTTTTTTTTTGCATCTGCCAACGACAAGACTTTTCTTAAAACCTCACATCACACAGGTATGTAGATTATTTAAATCATGTCCCTTTCTTACCTGTCGTCCCAGCGCCGCCCCCTGGATGTCCTCCTGCTGCTGCTGGGCGATGGTGACGCCCAGCACCAGGGTGTGGACCCCGCAGGACACCGTGGTGATGAGGACGATGGGCGTGAGCCTGAGCGGCAGCGTGAGGAAGAAGGAGAAGCTGAAAAAGGCCTGCCAGCCCACCGTGTCCGACGCCTGGTGGAAGCGGGCGTAGTTCAAGCCCAGGTAGCAGAAGATCTGCGCGGCGATGAGCACCCACAGGGCGTAGGGTACCACCCGCCGTGTCACGCGGTCCGGCAGCAGCCCGAAGCGGCACAGCAGGTACAGGGCGATGTCCGCCGCCAGCCCCAGAGACGCCACCAGCACGGACGCCAGCTTGTCGGAGGTGTAGATGACGGCGCACATGACGATGATGTAGCTGTCGAAGAGGGCGGCGAACACCACCAGCACCAGCAGCGTCTCGTGCCTCTGCCTCCTGAAGTAGGTCTGGTACAGGTTCTCCAGGGACTCGGGGGCGAAGGTGAGCCTCATGAAGCGGGGCAGGCAGAGGCAGCATCCCGAGCTCCGCACCGTCACCTCATTGGTCCGGCCCACCGCCTGGCCCGGGTCCGAGGGCAGCGTCACCGAGCAGTCCGCAGAGTACTCCGCCGAGTACTCGGGCTCAGAGAAGGCCCGGTTCCGAGGCATGATGGTGGACTCTTTTGAGAACCGGGGGGGGGATGTGTGTGTGTGTGTGTGTGTCTGTGTGTGTGTGTGTGTGTGTGTAGTCTTGGAGTCTCAGGCGTGCATCACCTGTGTTGCATTTGTGGCGTGCTGGTTTCTCTCAGTCTCCCCCTGAGAGGCGTCATGAATCAGCGCGGCGTGCCCGTGTCTTCTTCTTCTTCTGTCTCGGTGAGTCTGATCGCTCCATCTAAAGCCGCTCGCATCGTCAGTCCTGTGTGTGTGTGTGTGTGTGTGTGTGTGTGTGTGTGTGTGTGTGTGTGTGTGTGTGTGACACGCTCAGGTCGGACACGCCTCCTCCTCGCCCTCGGACATGTGACTCAAACACCCGGCTCCTCCTGTCTGCTTACTCGGCGGTGGTGCAGATGTGGCTCCTCCCCTCCTCCAGCGTCCGCCTCCGTCCTCAAACATGACAGACCGGTTCAGCAGTTCCTCACATGGCCTGAACAAAGAAGAGACTTTTAATATAACATAAGTTACAACAGCTTTATTGACAACATTAAAAACACACACACACACAAACACACACACACATCTGACTTTACATCACACCTGCAGAACACAGCGATCAGGGGTTATATTTAGATGTCATCCTGGTGAAGTCCTATGCGCCCAATATTGAGTCATTTCTTGTTTTTGATTACACAAACAAACTCCTGCACACTTTCTAAATTGCACAAATACATTGGCAACATTTCAGTACCAAAACATTGGCAATGCATTTGTGCAATTTAGACATTTTTTTCTATATTTCTCACGCAGCAATTTGGGTTAAAATTTGACTGTAAAAGATCTGCTGGGTTTTTTTGTAAAGCTTCTGTACTTGTGATACGATTCATGATTAAAATAAGAGCTTATACTACCTCCCTTTTTAGTAGAGCTTCTAACTGAATCTCATTTCATCTACTTTTATTACATTCTGAACCTCCTGTGTTTCCTCATTCAGAGTAAATGACAGTGTGTCCTCAGTTCCTGTTCGTATCGAAGTATTTTTTATCTTAGTTTTTGGATTGTGGGATAGGAGTCATGCTGTTGCTGTTTGATTAAATGTTGATGTTAAAGCACTTTGGGATACAAAGTGCTATACAAATAAAGTTTGAGTTTGATTGATTATATTATATTATATTTTAAAAAGATGTGGTATTGAAAGGAAAAAGACACACTTTGACAACTTGAGTTTTTCATTTGATGGAGCAGCTGGGACTTCAAAGTATTCTATAGGACAAATATCCAAATCTGAGACACATCTGTCTATGTGTCCAGAGACCCTGAAAATGCTTTTTTCTTTTTGCAGACAACACAGGAGGAAGAAATCCACCATCCTGAATTTCTAAACACTCAGTTTTTTTTGCATTTTATGAAATTATGAAGTTGGAGTAGAAGGATTTCTTACAGGAAATCAACCTGAAATAGTCAAATGAAGTGGTCAGGGTGTTTGAACACAGAGTCCAGTCTGTCAGCTGCAGGCCTGCACAGCTACATGTTGCTCTGAGTCACACACACACACACACACACACACACACACACACACACACACACACAGGTTGTAAAAACACTGAAAACATCACTGTGTCTTAAACAAAACGTCCTGTGAGGGTGTCAGGTGTGCAGACTCCGTCAGGTGATGGAGGCTCACTGTCACTGATCACACTCTTTAATGGCTGCTTTAGCATCTGAGCTCCTCTCTGTTTATCTAAACCTTTAATCAGATTATTCCTCCTCCTCTTCAGGTCCAGTTAAAACCTCTGAAGTCCGATTTACGCCCACACTCTGCCCCCCCCCCTTTTTTTTCCTCCAGATGTTTACAAATCAGAGAAAACAGGATCCAGCCTGATGCTCACCGTGTCTTCTGGAGCCAGATGTCGTCTCCTCTGAGTGCTAATTCCCCTCACACAGCTGAGTGTGTGTGTCAGTGTGTGTGTGTGTGTGTGTGTGTCTGTGTGTGTGTGTGTGTGTGTGTGTCCTCAGTCACACAAACACACATCAGCGTGGTTTAAAATATTTAAAAAAAACAAGTCAATCGATGAATCGCCCAGCAGGAACACAGACCACACAATGCTCGCTCCCGGTGTCCGTGCTCCCCGGTTTCTGAGCTCCTGGGTGTTTTCCGCAGAAGAAACGGAACAGATCCACCGTCAAGCTGCACGTGTTCAAAACAACAGGACTTCCGGAGGACTTCAAAGTAAAACATGCATGTGTTCGTTTTGCTTTTCATCCGTCGTAACTTGATGTTCATCATGCATATAAATTATATTTGTGCAGGTGAAGCAGACTGTAAATCAAGGATGTTATTGTCAAGTTTGGGATTTTTCATTATTTTTTTATTTCGTTTTGACTTTTTGTTTTCAATTTAAGTTAAGTTTTCATTAGTGTTTAGTGTCAGCTTAAGTTGTTTTTTTTGTCTCTGTAGGCTATCATAAATGGTTCAGAGAAATATATCAAGCAACTTCTTAAAAAATACCCTATAGCCAACAATATAGCATTATTAAAGTCTTTATATGTGATTTTTCACACTTAAGTATAATAAAAATCAAGTATATCCTCTGAAAATAACTCTGTGAGTCATGACTGTGTTCAGGCAGGAAGGCCAGGTCGGTGACCACGATCCCATGAGACTCCTGCACATAATACAGCTTCTACACACACACACACACACACACACACACACACACACACACACACACACACACACAGTGATCAGCATAGAGCACAGCTGATTGGTTAATCAATGTACATGTCTGTATGTACAGTGTCGTCGTGGTTACCTGCAGGGAGAAGGAGATGTAAATGGCCACGGATCCCGTCACAGTTCCCAGACCGAGGAACGTTCCAGAATCACTGAGAGGGAAAAAGTGTTTATTTATTTATTAAACAGATGTTTCCTTAAAGTCTTTATATGTGATTTTTCACACTTAAATGTAGAAATGAAGTCTATCCTCTGAAAATAACTCTGTGAGTCATGACTGTCTACAATGGGTGTAACACCCGAGTCCCACTGTCTGTGATGTTTTCAGAGTTTTCAGAGTCCTATCTTCACTTTGTTTACATCGCCAGGACGGCCGGCTGACTCCTCCCCTCGTGTATAAAAGTTGTTTAATTGAGGGACTAGAGAAAAGAAGAATAACATACTGTACTCACTGCTTAACTGTGTTTCTAGATCACGCTCATTTCAGGTAAATTTACATGCAGTGTGAAGATACCAGCATAATAAAGATCGCTAGCATTAGCATGCTAACACAACAATGCAGCGCAAGTTGTTTTGGTTTCATGCTGGTGCTCAAGGGCGACATCTGCTGGATCAAAAAAACGCATACAAAGCCTTTAAGGGAAAAAGTTTTAACTCCTGCAGTCAGCAAGCTCCTCCAAAATAAAAACGTCTGATGAGTCTGAGACAAACTGTGAGAATAAGTGTCACTCAGTGTGTTTGTGTCACAGACGGACACTCAGAGGCGATTCTACAGTCTGTTGGGGTCCAGGCAAAAATTCATTGGGGGGGGGGGGCCCTCCAATCAGTGTTTATCACCACCAGTGTTCCAACGCTTACTCCTCTTCCTGTTTGTTACTCTTTCTTTGGTCTTTGGTTTTTCCAATGGTTTTCCATGGTTCCAATTTCCAAATGAACCCGTACATTTGAATTATTATTTTGCTGACGAATGAAAGACAAAGACCAGAGTCAAGGTCAGAGCCAGAAGAGGAATCTGAACTCCTTTTGATGACACTCTGATAAAATCCCTCAGTAGAGAAATATAAATGACTCCATTTACTGTGTTATTAAAACCTCACCAGACTGATGAAAATACACAAATCATATCTGCTCATCATATCTGATTTTATTTTGAAGCATTTTCCATCATGCTTTTAATTTGAAGGTTAGCATCGAAAGGTTTTCGTATTACCGTTTCCTGTCTTGACGTGCAGCCCCCCGCCCCCCCCCCCCCCCCCCCGTAGCCCGCCCTCCATCCTCCGGGAGGTGAAGAAGAAGACGTGATCAGAGAGGAAGAGGTTCAGCCTGTGTGTGTGTGTATGTGTGTTAGAGTGTGTGTGTGTGTGTGTGTGTGTGTGTGTGTGTGTGTGTGTGTGTGTGTGTGTTTTGCTAATACATTTATAGCACTTTCTGTCTGTGTGTAAACAAAGATGCCTTCCTAGCTGCAGACTGGTTGCTATGGTTACTGATAGTTCCCCCTGTAACAGCTCCTGTGTGAGTGGATGGTTTGCTGCCTTGCTCATTGACTCTCTCAGCTTCATTCACTGAACCTGCACAGGTTTACAGGTGTGTTATAGAACTCAACAGGTCTTCATTTATTCATCTTTTTTAAGTGAATATGAATAGTATAATGACTGACATGTACGGTGGCCCTGACGCTCCAAACCACAGACTGTATAAAAAAAATGGACATGGTGGCTCAGCCTCCTTCCGTTTAACAGGATGAAGCCAGAATATGCCCACGAGGGCGCTGACACATTTCAAATATGCAACAGGAGTCTGCGAAACTTTTGTGGTGTTTATTGTATTTTTCTCGCACAGTTTCCACTAATCCGGTGCACACAGCGCCGCAGGAGCCTCGTCCTTTCATTCATTCGTCAAGAGAGCTGTCAATCATGGCATTTTAAAACAATTTAAAAAGGATCATATCATCGATTCAAAAGAAGCTTGGAAGCCTGATAATGGCGATCGAAATGAAAGTGGGTTTGAGAAAAATTAATCCCACATGCATTTTGATTTTATAGTGTGATACGTGTCCCATATGTTCACAGAGAGGAGGCGGGGTTTATGACCTACACCGCAGCCTGTCAGCAGGGGGGGGGCGCTAAATCTCCTGGTGTCACTCCCGGGCAGCTGTCGCTCTGTCCATCTTAGTATATCATTTGTGGTTTACTGAAATCTACATTTTAAGATGTATGTAACATGTAATTTTGACGTTACAGTATTTCACAATTTAAATGTTGGACAATCCTTCTTGTTTGTGATTGGACAGAACCGTCGTCCCTGGCAACAGTTCGCTGTCATTTGATGACTGTGTCGTGTTTTTTCCAGATGGATTTTTAATAAATGATTGAAGAGGAAATTAAATTCTACTGCAATATTTTAATAGATGATATGTTATTAGCATGATGTAAGTTCTGATTTCATCATATCAAACATTGAATCCTGAGCGTCTGAAAGAATCAGAGCTGAGACAGGACAGTTCACCAATCACAGATCCCCTCAGAGAGAGAGAGAGAGAGAGATTGACGTCTTACACACACCCATCCATTATCTCCAAATCCCGTTCTAGGATTCAGGACGCAGGAACTGACCTCAGCTTCCATTGGACGAGAAGCGGGGTCCAATCACAGGGCTGACACTCAGAGACAGACAAACATTCACACCTAAGGTTAATCTAGAAACAACCAATTAACCGAATGAGCATGTCTTTGGACTGTGGGAGGAAGCTGGAGCCCCCTGAGGGACCCCAGGCATGCACAGGGAGACATGCACGATAAGGTAAGGGATTAGAACCAGGAACCTTCGGGCTGTGAGGCAACAACATTAAACACTGCACCACCACGCAGCCATCTGTTCATAAACATATTAATCATAAATGTCCCACATGTGTTTATAAGGTCTGAGACATGGGGAAGAGTGTGTGTGACCTTTATGTTCTTTCTCATATCCAAGACGTCACATACTTACTTCTGATGCTGGTCTGCTCTTTGGGGTCTTATTCAGATTAAACTCCATGTGATCTTCAGAGTCCCTCTGCACCTTTAAGAAAAAGCTAAAGACCCAGCTCTTTCATGAATACCTACTAACTTAATGATGATGGTCTCCATATTATTGATGATGATGATGGTAATGACGATGGTTTTTGTTTGATAACGACGACTTATAAGATGGTTTCTATACTGATTAGAGCTCTCAAGAACTGCCCTCAATGTTGTGCTTTGCCTCTGGTCACTTCCTGTCAGCACCTGTGTGTCCAATCAGACTCAGAGCTGACACTCAAAGCTCTTACTGACATTGTTCCCTTTTTTCTAGATCCTTGCTTGTGTTGTTCTTCCTCTCTGATGTACGTCTCTTTGGATAAAAGCGTCAGCTAAGTGAATTGTAGAATTGTAGAAACAGCGCCTACATTAGGACTCATCTGGATTTAAACTAAAAGTGAACCCTGCTGCATCATCATAAAAACAGAAAGAGCAAAAAGTCTGAAGAAAGGATATCTGTGTCACGCTGAGCCCATTTTGAGAGAACCCAAAATGCATGACTCCAACAAGAAGAACTACACGTTGAATTGAAATAAAGGCAAAAATTATCATTGTGTCTGAAACCTGCTGCTTCAGACACCTTGCCAAAGATAGTCTCCCACTGTGAGCTGCATGTCTGAACAAGCAACTCAGGAAGATGCGCGGGTCGTCAGCCTGCAAGAAATTTCCTAGAAAATTTCAGGTGTGTATACAGACTAGGTTTCCAAAGAGATGTTTTCCCTGTGGCTGTTTCCACACTTCTTCCAGTGCATTAATGTGTGGACATGGAGCTGTCTAACACCAGCAGGGTTTAATATCACCCCCCCACCATCATTCTGTATTGATCGTTCCATTGAAGGCCAGCTGATCATTATGACTCTGTTTCACATCGATCAGAAACTTCATCAGCATCGTCCTCTGCTCTGACCATCGGTGTCCTGAACTCAGTATCAAGGTCACTCAGCTGAAACACCGGGTGATGGGTGGCAGCAGCTCTGTCTGTATAGGGACTCGGGTTGGGAACCAGAGGGGTCGCTGGTTCCAGTGCGGGGGGCCAAAATATGGAAGTTGATCCGGTAACTTTTTATATACCTTTTTATTTTCTGTAAATGAAGCTGATGAAGACAGAAACAGTCTGCTGCTCTGACTCTAAAGTGTCCACGACCCTTCAAGCGTCCAGAGCTCTGCAAGTGTCCAGGACCCTTCAAGCGTCCAGGACCCTTCAAGTGTCCAGAGCCCTTCAAGTGTTCAGAGCCCTGGCGAATGGGAGTCGTGGTCTTAAGATTTATTATTTTATGTGCATTATATGTGCGAGCAGCAAGCCACAAACAGTTGTTTCTACGCGACAACTAGAACAACAAATTATAAAAGGCAGGAAGGAACAATAACTTTGAGAGACTGCTCATATGCGTCATTATTTAAGGACGCTCCACATTTTATTTATTTATTTCGGTCCATGACCACAAAGCATAAAACACAAAACACAAACAATTATAAATAAATAAAAAACAATGGCCGAAAAGGTGTAGGATGAAGCCGAGGTTTATTATGCCTACCCTTTGAACATTTCCTTTATGCAGTATATCAAAACAAGAATAGCTGCAAAAAAAACAAACAAAGTAACCTGAGTTCACAAAACAGAAAACAGTTGTCAGTTAAGCAAATCAGAACAATAAAAGGAAAATAATGAATAAATGAAAAGCGTCCATAAATGATTAATTACAGTCAGACTATAGTTATAAACTATTATATGCTTTCTATACATTTATATTCCATATTTCATAGAGCAACAATATTACCATAGAATTATACTCCAGGCTCCCTCTACACACAACATTTACTATTTTTTTAGTGACTCCCATTTAACAAATTCTTCAGAGCGTTTTAAAGCATAGACTGTAAATAGTAATATAATATATAATATATAATAATATTAGTTTTAAGCCAGAGGTTAAAAAAACACTGACCGACAATCTCTGGTGTTCTTTTTGTGACGTCATGACGCAGCCGACGCAGACTACGCTGCTGACGTGTAGGTTAGGGAAGCGACTGTCGAGCTGTCTTGAGCCGCTGCTAGCTCGTAGCTCCTTCTCTTCATCACAAAGCGTTTGTTTCTCCACTGACAGCTCATAATGAAATCATCTAACGCAGAAATAAGCTTCACGATGAAATAACAACGGGACACGAAGCGGGACTACTGCTCAGGTAGGAGAGTTTAAATACAAAATAAAGGAAAGAGCTAACATGCTAACTGGGAGGAAGTTAGTGCTAACAGCAGCTTTTACAGATAATGGATGTTGTTGTTGTTGTTGTTGTTGCTGCTGTTGCTGTTGCTGTTGCTGTTGCTGCTGCTGTTGTTGTTGTTGTTGTTGTTGTTGCTACACTTATAAAAGTGAAGATATCCTCAGTTTCCGCTGATTAAAAGACTGAGTTTACTTTGTACAGAGCTCCGTGTAGGAGCTCACCTGTTAGCTGAAGCTACATTCATATAAACAGAGAGACAGACAGAGAGACAGAGAGACAGACACACAGAGAGACAGAGAGACAGACACACAGAGAGACAGACACACAGAGAGACAGACACACAGAGAGACAGACACAGACACACAGAGAGAGACACACACAGACACACAGAGAGACAGACACACAGAGAGACAGACACACAGAGAGAGACACACACAGACACACAGAGAGACACACAGAGAGACACACAGAGAGACACACACAGACAGAGAGACAGACACACAGAGAGACAGAGAGACAGACACACAGAGAGAGACACACAGAGACACACAGAGAGACAGACACACAGAGAGACAGAGACACAGAGAGACAGAGAGACAGACACACAGAGAGACAGACACACAGAGAGACAGAGAGACAGAGACACAGAGAGACAGAGAGACAGACACACAGAGAGACAGACACACAGAGAGACAGACAGAGAGACAGACAGACACACAGAGAGACAGAGAGACAGAGAGACAGACACACAGAGAGACAGAGAGACAGACACACAGAGAGACAGAGAGACAGAGAGACAGACACACAGAGAGACAGACACACAGAGAGACAGAGAGACAGACACACAGAGAGACAGACACACAGCTGATACTCTGGACAACATATATAATTATAAATAATGAAAACAATACTGTTAAATATTCTTGCTAATTTTCACTACACCTAGGCTGTTAGTAGGTATTTGTATTTGTATTGTAAGTCAGTCTGATGGCTTTACCCCAGTTCATTGATAGTGAATCAATCAATTTATATTTGTATAGCGTCAACTCATAACAAGTGTTATCTCTTTACACTTTACAAAGAGCAGGTAACAGACCTTACTTATTGTTATGTTACAAAGAGCAGGTAAAAGACCTTACTTGTTATGTTACAAAGACCCGGCCTATCCATCATGAGCACTTTAGCAAAGCAGCAAAAGTTACTGTGGTAAGAAAAAAAACTGCCTTATTAAAAGGCAGAAATCTTTGGCTGGATCCCCGGCTCATGACGAAACAGTCTTCACAGGACTAGACTGCACCGGTGAAATCAGCTTCTCTGTGTGCTCACCTGAGGTTTACATCAGAGATAAGATAGAGAGATAGATACTTTATTGATCCCGAGGGAAATTCAAAGCATCCAGTAGCAGGTTACAAAGACATGACATGACCAACGCCCCCCCCCCCTCCCATACATACATACATACATACATACATATATATATATATATATATATATATATATATATATATATTAACCTGAAAAAAAGATTTAAAGAATACCCCTAGATCAGGGAGGGGCAACTTTGGTCAGAGCAAGGGCCACATTCGTTTAATTCTCACTGCCTGCGGTCGACCGATTAAAGTCGATTATGTCTCAAATTGAACTCAACATATACCAGGGATCAAATATTATTATGGACATATTTCTGGTTTTCATGATAGATTTTGTCATGTTTTCCAATTAATTGATGAGTAAAAATTGACCCGAGGGCCACGTTGAGGGTTGATGGGGGCCGCATGTGGCCCCCGGGCCACCAGTTGCCCACCCCTGCCCTAGATGAATCAAACTTAAACTGTGCAATTAAAAAATAGATTTATACAAGAAGTGTACATAACCTGTGCAGGGATAAAAATATATGTGAGATTTAAACAAAAACCTATAAACAGTTGAGGAAAAAATCTGTAATTAGACCTGAATATTAAAAAAAAAAAAAAGTGTTGACCTTCTGAAGTTGTGAGGGGTAAAGAGCAAATCTTCCTGTCTCTTCTCGCATGCTGATCAAAACCAATCGCCCTTCGGGGACAAATAAAGTTGAGTTGATGCCAGTCTGTACGGCATTTGGAGAGGAGATCCAAATTTACTTTCACATTTACTCCAATATCCTGGTTCTATTCCCCGTCCGACAGGGCCTTTCTCTGCATGGGGGGATGTTCTCCTGGATTCCCTTAGGGTGCTTCGTCTTCCTCCAACAGTCCAAAAGACGTGCGTGTTAGGTTAATTGGAGACTCTAAAATTTTCTGAGTGTGCATGGATGTTTGTCTCGATGTGTAAGCCCTGTTATTGACTGGAGACCAGTCAAACCAGTGTACCTCACCTCTCTCCCAATGGCAGCTGAGATCAACTTCAGCCCCCTTACAAACCCAAACCTACAAAACTTTAAAGATACAAGAAGTCAAGTCAAGTCAAGTCACATTTATTTATAAAGCACTAAAACAGCAGCAGCTGACCAAAGTGCTGTACAATGCATCAAAGAAACAGTTTACAGGGGATTACAACATATACAAAAAACACAAAATAAAATACGATAGAATAAATAGGAGAGATAATGAAAGAAATAACTGGGATCTGAAAGAGCCGTCTATTCAGGACCAGAGGACTCAAATACAAAAATATAAAAAATAAGTCTTTAGAAGGGACTTAAAAGAGTCAACAGAGGATGCAGACCTGATGGGAGAGGGAGGCTGTACAGAAGGAAATGTGTACATAACAAAATGTAACACTGTCTGTTTTTCCACACAGGTGTGTTTGAGGCAGAGGATTTATGAAGAAGAGTGAGTGACCTGCACGAACACGATGGGGAAGAGGAGGGTGCCAGATCTGTACAGAGCCCCCTTTCCCTTGTACTCGGTTAAAGTGGACCCCAGAACAGGGCTGGTGATCACAGCAGGAGGAGGAAGGGCCTCGAAGACCGGCATCAAGAATGCTTTGGTAAGAACTGATGATCTGATGGTTCATTTATCAGAAGAGTACGGTGGCCCTGAAGGCTCAGTGCACTGCAAGTCAAGAGACAGAGCACAGACAAGACACAAGAGGATGTAGGAAACACATTTAAATATTTAAAAAAACACTCTTAATTCAGGTGTGTTTCCTGTTGATTAATTAATACAGCATATTATCGCAGTCCCATGGCCACCAAGTATCGATATTTTTATTATATTAATTGCAAATATGCTTTTTTAAAAATTTTTAATTGCTGAACATTTTGAACAAGTTGCATTGTTAAGAATTCCTGCAGTTATCCAGTCGTCCTTACATGTTTGTGTTCAGTTAAGTTTGATTAAACTAAAATATTAACAGTTCAGATTGTGAGGTGCTTTGCAACCTCATAAACATAATATGCAGGTAAAAACGTAATTTATATATCATAATAAAATGTATCTCAATTCTCAGCATATTGCAAAATGTTTAAAATCACATTAATATCGTATCGTGGGGCCTCTGATTATTGTGTGTGTGTGTGTGTGTGTGTGTGTGTCTGTGTGTGTCTGTGTGTGTCTGTGTTTGTGTTTTCAGCAATTCCTGGAGCTGCAGCTGGTGGGAGAACACTCGTACTCTGCCACCCTCCTTCACTCTCATGACACGGACACTCGGGCCACCATGAACCTGGCGCTGGGTGACGGGGTGATCGCCGCGGGTCAGGACGGGACCTGCTGCCTGATGAAGTTCAAGCACGGCTCGCAGAAGAAAGACGGCAAAGCTGCGGGTAAAGACGGTGAGACTGCCTGCCTGCACTCTGGTATAACCTGCTGTCTGTCTAACAGGATCGTGGCTGATTCATTACAAAATAAACGATAAACAATCCCACCCAGCGGTGATAGCGTTGTGCTGTGAGATGCATGTGAAAATAAGCAACCTGGGAAGATTTCAGGGGCAGTCTCTCCGGAAACTTTCCTGAAATGTTCAGGAGTGCATGCATGAAACAGGCTGGAGTTAAACCCCTCAGTTTCAGATGCACATGAGTTATTATTTGTATCCTCTGATTCTGATGTGTGTGTCTATGATCCAGTAAACCTCTCTGTGTCCTCTGTGTAGCGGGGAGCAGCGTGCAGAAAGGAAACGCCCGGAGACGGACGGGGAAAGGAGACAAAGGAGGACAGGATGGAGCTGCGGCGTCAGGAGACATGCTGGACACAAAGGATGAGACGGTCCAGATCTCCGTCACCGGTCTGGCTGAAGTCCAGTCAGACCTGAACCCTCAGGACCCGCTCCAGAAGGTGGTCCGCTTCAGTCCTGACCTGAGCCTGCTGCTGACAGGAGGCACAGACGGACACATCCGAGTGTGGGAGGTAAACACTGCAAAGACACCAGACTCCATTGACAAAAACAGTCATTTAAACCTCACAGAACACAGAGGTCGACAACCATCTCTACCTGTCAGTTTTTTGTGTTAAAAACACAAGAACAGAGCCACACAATAACAGAATCAAATGAACTACAAGGTCTGCCTCAAGCGGAAATTGTAGTATCCCTAAACGTGGCTCCGCTTTTGCAAAATCTGCTTTCTGTTTTAAAGAGATTTAAGAACAGAAAAAACTCCCAACTAATCTGAAACCAACCAGGGAAACGTGTACATCATATTTTAATATCTGTATATTGTTCTGTGTTCTTCTTCTGTCTTATGAAGTGTGTGTGTGTGTGTGCATGTCACGGTTGAAAATGAACTTTTTCCACTTCCTGCCGCTGTGACTGGTGGATTCAAAAAATCTACCTGTCACTCTTGTTCTTTTTTGTTACCTGCCTCTTTATTTTAACCGGCAGCAAAATGTCATGATGTAGAATACCAATTTAAGGCTTACAGGATTTAAATAATTACTATTTTATAATCAGCTGTTAAAGGAAATGCTGACATCCTCTTCATCTCACTTAAAAACAGAAAAAAACGTTTATTTACTCAGTTTAGTATTTCGAGTTTGGTAAGAGTTTCCATTCAGTCATGTCCTTACAGGCTGATTTAGCTGCACAAAACTTGATGGGTAGGTTGAACAAATTCACCTAATTGATTGTTGTGCAAATTTCCAACCCTGGTGCAGGTGTGTGCGTGTGTGTGTGTGTGTGTGTGCATGACTGGTTGATCTGCATTTTCCTGTTGCTATCACCTGCCCAGGGACAACAGATTGACATGATCTAGTTAGCTAAATCTGGTACGAAGCATCTCTTCTCTTCTGAGACTGATGTTATTTTGTACACAGTCCCTGATTCAAATAAACTAAACTAACCATTCGAGGCATCAGGAGACCAACCAGTCCCGTGTTCTGTGCGTCCTCTAACTTAATGATCAGAGATCGGCTCTGTGTACATGACAGTGTTATCGTGCTCTGAAGTCACCGACCACAGAGTCCTGACCGACACAGATTCATCGACTGTTTTTATTTGAATCAAAATGGATTCTGTCAAAAATCCACCCCAGAACGTCTTACTGATGATTTCTCTGATTGTGTCATAATAAACATAATGACATTGATCGTATGTTCCTGACTTTACAGTTTCCGTCCCTGAAGAAGAAGTTTGACTTTAAGGCTCATGAAGGAGAGATTGAAGACCTGGATATGAGTCCAGGGAACAAGGTGACCCCCCGGCTCCTCTCATGAGACTTTACATAACGACAGACGTGATGATCGATTAGTAATAATGATCATGTTGTGATGTCATGCAGCACCTGGTGACGGTGGGCCGGGACTTCGCCTGCAGCGTGTGGAGTGGGAACCAGTTAGCCATGGGTCTGAAGTGGTTTGAAACGATGCCCCACATAGCTGACAAGACGTATCGGTATATGGCCTGCAGGTAAACAAACAAACAAACAAACAAACAAACACGGTGTCATCGTCTCTGAAAAGATGAAGGATAAGACCTGTGATGTGTTTTTTAAGGTTTGGGAAGGTGGAGGATCAGAAAGACGCCCTGAGGCTCTACACGGTCCAGATCCCCCACAACGGGACAGAAAACCTCCGCCGTGCTTCATCACTAAGTGGGACGGGCGGAGCTTCCTGCCCATGCTGACGGCACCATGCGGCTCCGAGGTCATCTCCAGTCTGGCAGTCAGGTACCTGATGGTTCAGGATAGCGCTCCATGTCAGCCATATCTAGTGGAGAGTGTAAAGGCAGTTTACACCAACATTTATTCTCTGAATATGACGTGAACTCACTGAGTTTGAGAAGTTTATTCAGAAATTTAAAGGCTTTATACGCAATTTTTTTGATCCAGCAGATGTCGCCCTTGAGCACCAGCATGAAACCAAAACAACTCGCGCTGCATTGTTGTGTTAGCATGCTAATGCTAGTGATCTTTATTATGCTGGTATCTTCACACTGCATGTAAATTTACCTGAAATGAGCGTGATCTAGAAACACAGTTAAGCAGTGAGTACAGTATGTTATTCTTCTTTTCTCTAGTCCCTCAATTAAACAACTTTTATACACGAGGGGAGGAGTCAGCCGGCTGTCCAGGCGATGTAAACAAACTGAAGATAGGACTCTGAAAACTCAGAAAACATCACAGACAGTGGGACTCGGGTGTTACACCCATTGTAGACAGTCATGACTCACAGAGTTATTTTCAGAGGAGATACTTGATTATATATTTAAGTGTGAAAAATCACATATAAAGACTTTAAGGAAACATCTGTTTAATAAATAAATAAACACTTTTTCCCTCTCAGTGATTCTGGAACGTTCCTCGGTCTGGGAACTGTGACGGGATCCGTGGCCATTTACATCTCCTTCTCCCTGCAGGTAACCACGACGACACTGTACATACAGACATGTACATTGATTAACCAATCAGCTGTGCTCTATGCTGATCACTGTGTGTGTGTGTGTGTGTGTGTGTGTGTGTGTAGAAGCTGTATTATGTGCAGGAGTCTCATGGGATCGTGGTCACCGACCTGGCCTTCCTGCCTGAACACAGACAAATCAGAGGGAACAACGAGGCGGCCATGTTGAGTGTGGCGGTGGACAGCCGATGTCAGGTTCACACTGTCGCCAACAGAAGTGAGTTCATCATCATCAGCAGCAGAAAAACTTAGATATCAATATAATCATTTATCATCGGGAAAGGAGTCGACTAACGGATGTTTGATCCAGGAGTGATCGGGCTGACGAGCTCTGCTGAGGTTTACAGTCAGCGGTAAAAGACGACAGAACGACCGGGCTGCAGTAAAAAAAAGTTCATTTATTAATCCCTCAGTGCAGCCAGGTAAAAAGTCCATGGCACCGAAACCAAACAAATACCACATCAATGATGACAACAAGACGTTTTAATACAACACTGCTTTTATAAGTCATTGTATATTAAGTAAATAAAAAAGACAACAATTTTAAGATAAGCTCATTTACTTCACACTTGAACAAATCATCCCAAATGAATGAACTATGACAGCATTATGACACACCTGCATCCTGCAGGAAACACACATGTTTAACTTGAACCTGCAGAGAACTTAAGATGAGACTTTGGCACTAACCTGTTTTTTTGTAAATATTTTATTTAGTTTTAAATTTGACATTATACAAAACAACAAAAGTACAGAACGAGACAAAACAAAGTCAACAACAGACAAAGGGCTGCCTCTGTACACACACACACACACACACACACACACACACACACACACACACACACACACACACACACACACACACACACACACACACACACACACACACAGGTGTCTGATTAGATCAGGACAGGTTGTAAACAGGTGGAGGATTTATGGTGTAATAAATTCTAAGCACAAACAAGTATGATAACAGGTCATCAAAGGTCATCACAGGTCATTAAGTCCACACGTTTTCTTCAAAATGAACGAGGAAGTGGAGCTGTCAATCAAACAAGCTTGGCCACACCCTCATATTTCCGAGAGGTCTGTTCACGCTCTATAACAACACTTCCTGGATGATAACCTCCAGGGTGGCAGCACAGAGCAGGTCACTGTGTAAGCTTCTGTTTTAGAGCAGAGAAGAAGAATCGATGGATTAAAAATTCAGTTAAATTCTCTTATCTTCGTCTTTTTTTTCTCCCTTCAGGATCATTTCCCATCTGGTTGGTCCTCTTCTTCTGTGGTGTCATGGTGGTGGCGGCCGTCCTCCTCCTTCAGCACCTCTTCCCGGGATTCATTTAAATCATGAAGGTGTGTGGTCACGGGTCACAGGTGACACCAGCATCCTCGCTCTGTGTGAGGATCTACCCGCGGCACAGACCCCGTCTCCTCACGTCCACTCGGGGGTCGCTGCTCTCAGAAGTCTGACGCAAAGTGAAACCAGTTAAAAAAAGAAATCTACAAACCAGAGGAACCGGTAAACGAGGACAGACTGTGGTGTTCTACCAGCGCTGAAGAAAGGATCATTTATAAGTGTTTGGATTCTTGTTGAAGGGCTCATGTTGGTGAATGTATAATTGAGGGAGGGGCTCTTTTTATCCACATATTTAAGGAAAGATGTAAAATATACTACAGATACTTTTAATACCTGCGAGTCTCTGGGTGTGTTTTCTGTTAAATCCACCAGAGGGCAGCAGAGGACAGAAAGTTCTTATTGAGAGCCTTAAATCATCCGTCAGCCTCTGAACAGTTTGTTTTATTTCAAACAGCATCATTATGACGTCCAGTGATTATTTAACACAAATAATTGGGTTTAATTTAAAGAAAACAGATTTGGTTAAAGGCAGGGTTGGTAATTTCAAAAACTAGCATGATTCTGAAAGTAGCATTCCCTCAGTGCTGCGTCTGCACCCAGCCCCTCTGTGCTCCCTCAATAAGCCACGCCCCCTCACTTACATGCACGAGCGCCATTGGTCCAGAAGCGGAGTTTAGCTCATGCTTTGAGTGTGGGCTAGTTCAAGCAAGGTGTAGAGAACGAGCAGGGAGGCGCCTGATTGGTTCATCAGATTGGTACCTCGTGGCAGACATTGGTTGAAGTTTTTACAGACTTACAAACTGATACAGATGATGGATTTTCTTGTTCCTTTTTCAGAGAACATGAGTTAATTTCTGTCAGGACCTAAAGACAGTTTCAGCCAAAATCTAAAAAAGTGTTTCTGGAGGAAATTAACCAACCCTGCCTTTAAATAAGAGAAGTCTCAGTCTGTGAAAAGTTTAAGATAAAAAGTAATTTTTTTTACCGCAGTGAGAGTTTGTTTATCCCCTTCTTTTATGAAGACATGTCACCTTTATTCATTTTTATTTAAAAACACTCTGATTTACAGCAGATGTTCAAAATGTGAATGCTTTTTAAAAAATGGTGCCCTTTATTGTGACTAACATGGTGAATGAAAAAAAGAAGAAATAAAATATCAATATGAGAAGAAAATGGAATAAAACACTCGCTGCTTTCTTTGTGGTGATAACAGTTCACACCTACCTGCTGAGGTCAGAACAGGTTTAATCAGAACCAGGATGAGGAGTCTGTTGAACCCCCACAGGATGAGACCAAAAAGTCACCAATCAAAAAAATAAATAAAATGGAAATGTCTGTAAGTTTTGGTTCAAATACGGGCGAGTTTTGCACAATATTCACTTTTTAACACATCCATCAATCCATTATCTATACTGCTTTTTCCCGTTGGGGGCCTTGGGGGGGCTGGAGGTGATCCCAGCTGTCATTGGGCGAGAGGTGGGGTAAACCCTGGACTGTACGCCAGTCGATCACAGGGCACTATTTAACACAGTGGTGTGATGTTTTAAAATCATCTCTCTGGAGGTTTCTTCCTCATACTCACCTGTTCTGTTCCTACCTGCATGTTCATTAATGAGTCGCTCACCTGAGTCTATTGTCTACCTGCCTGCCTGCTGTCCTGGATCGATGTGGTCTCTGCTGGCTCTTCACTCGTTTCAAAAACAGCTCCAGCTCTGACCACTAGAGGGAGCCAAACAATCGTTTTATATCCTGCCTGGCCTCATTCCCCTTAATGCAGTGTTTAGATATTCTAATGATTTTCTTCTTTTATTTGATGCATATGATTAGATCTTTTGTGTGTTGAGTTTGCACACTTGTGTTCTTCTCTGTGTATCAGATGTTCTGATGTTGAAGCTGAACCTGAGAAAGAACCGTACAGATTCCCATCAGTGGAGACATTTCCGTTCTTTGTCCCCTCTACCTGAACCCTGTCTCCATCGCTTTCCCTTTTGCTTCCTTCAGGACACGAGGCAGCTTGATCGAGTCATTACAGATAAAGCTCTACAGTTTAAATTAAAATATTCATGAACATGATCAGAACAAACACAAAGGATTTTTTTTGCTGCCCTGAAAAGTCACGCAAGCCAGGCCCGATTCTTTTATTTGTAAAGGGACCAGGTACAATATTAAACATAAATGTTGCCATTTGATGCATTGTACCAAAGAAAGCTTAGAGCAGGGGTGCGTCTGAATAGTCTTTTTTGCTTCGGAAGGTTCCTAACTGAGTGAAATGACCCGGAAGCATCCAAGTGATAAGAGCCGTTTGAATTCTGTAGCAACGCAATCGCCTTTCCCTTAGTCCTTTATGAATTCTCCTAACATCTTTCCTTAACCTCATGACGTTTTCCCCTGGGTTAAGGTAGAGTGGATAGTTAAAGGGGAAAGGAGAGACAATCGGGATGCACCCCTAGTTTACATCTGCAGTCCCTCGGCAGGTCAATTGAAGTTATTCGTTCTTTTAAAAAGAGACATTTTCCATCTAATCACAGTGATGACATGGAAAAATAGCCAATCAGTGGTGGTCTTGATTTAAAGAGCACATATAGTACCCCTTCTCCACCTTTTCAAACAGTCCCCTGTGGTCTAAATGAAACATGTGTTCTGTGCTTTGGTCAAAATATAACATGACTCAAGCACCAGAGGAGGTTTGTGACCCTGTATAAACCAGCTCTCTCAGAACGCTCCGTTTTGGTGTGTGTGTCTCTTTAAATGTAATGAACCCCGCCCCCTGAGTTTTCCCCGTAGACATCACTCCTCTGTAGAGAGAATAAAAATGGCCGACCCGAAAACTTTTGTTCTAGGCTGGGGGTGGAGTCCATGGGTGGAGATACCAGGGGAGGGGAGGGGATTTTTATTTTTTTACCAGAATCCCACTGTGACATCACAAGGAGAGCACATTTGAAACAGAGCATTTTTCTCTGTGTTGTAAGACTTATGCAGACCACAAACAAAGGACTGATGGGTTTATTTCACATGTTGTGGGTCAGTAGACTCTCAGGTTACCAGATAAATGTTCAAAAACACTGAACAAGTAGATTTTTGTCCCCTTTAAAATCCAAAGTCCTCCCAGTCTGAGACCGAGAGAAGACCCAGTAAAAATGCTTTTGATTCTGAAACGAGACCTTCAAAATGTGGTCTGGAGACCCAGACCGATTTTGAGTACTACAACACTAGTTTGCATTAAGAACTGACTTCCAGCTATGAGAGGAAATGGGCTGCTGATGATAATCTGAGTGATGCTCTTGTGATACAGACACTTTTTAGACACTCTGCCTCTCTGTGAGCAGCCTCTTTAGCCTTTTTCACACATGCATACTGAAAATGTGTCGAAAATTTCAGACAACCTGTCCCTCAAATTCATTTTGTAGTAGTCCAAAACAGTCTTTTTGATATTAATAGTGTAATTGTGCTTGTATAAGAGTAACAAGTGGCCTGTACTTGCAGTTTATTTGTTTTTCTGCTGTTGTCAGGTAATTTCAAACATGCGTCGTTTAACAGAAATGAAACATCACAAAGGTCATGCTGCAGCTCCAGAAACTTCCTGATATCTCTCTCATCGGCTCGACTTCAGGTGGAAGTTTTTACCAGGGCTAGCAGGAAAAAAGTCTGGGTACAATTCGACTGTGTGCGTTCACACATGCAGCTCAACCGCAAACATTTCAGGAAACTTTCAGGAGTTTTGTGCATGTGTGAAAACATCCTCTGAGAGACACTCTGCAGAATCATAGATACAACATCTCCTGTTGCACAACGTTCATCCTGTAAAGCCTCAGAGCCGCAATGGTTCAGATCCTGCCCGGATTTCAGCTCCAGCACAGTCACGCATAGCCCAACACAATGAGACCCCCGCCCCTCTTTCCCCTGCCCCCTCGACCTCTCTAAATGAAAAACATACACCCTGCTGCAGCGCCGTGATACCATCACACAGCTTCATTCATGCTGTGAGTGTGTTTAGTCTCTGCAATCAGAGGCTTTGTGCAGACAGAATGCTGCAGCGATAAATCAGGTGAGGAGTTTTGAGTTCTTCTCTCCCTGAAGGTTAGAAAATATGAATTTGTTTAGAGATAAAGAACCGTCTGAATCCTCAATCTGTCAGCTCAGTCTGATACAGGCTGTTGTTTGAAGATGGCTGCTGAAGCGCTCTCCTGTTCCTCGTCTCTTTAAATCAGGAGCTGATATTATCCTCGTGTTGAAGGATCCTGATCGCTCTCTGATTACTGAACAAAAGTTTCTGATATCTGTCCTGATTATGAAGTCATGCGGAACAATCAGCAGGATGATCTCTCTGCTAAGTGCGTCTCCTTCAAGTGTTCTTGAAAATAAAAGTAGTCTTTCAGTCTCATATCAGATAGTTATTAAAAAAAAAAAAGAAAAAAGTGTGTTATTGGTTTCTTAAATGAAGCTAATGCAGAAGTGCCTTAAACCTGCATTCTTTTTGATGTCCAGCAGGGGGCGGCTCATTACGGTGAGTAACGAGAAGTTGGTCGTACTTCTCAGTTGATTTATTCTTTAATGATCTCTAGTTTCAAGTCTTCAATACAGCATGAGCACCGTTCATTTAGTAAATGATGGTCCCATCAAGGAGAAAAAAAAAAGATCTACCTTTTTAACTGGACTTCAAATATGGATTAATAACATGACCTCAGTCTGCGTTTTTCTAATCGGCTCCCCCTGTCTACTTTTCATGTGTATGAGGAACTAAGAATAGTTGTGTTGTTGTCTTTTTATCCTCAGTTTCGAGATGCAATAGCACAGAGAAGTTCAGCAGTTTGGTACGCTGGGTTCTAAGAGCTAACATGGAGGGTGGCGACAACTGTCCTGCCTTCTCGAGGTGTCGTGGGACTTATCGGACGAGCAGCCAGTGAGGGAGGTTCCCACTTGACAACCCTAATGGTGTCCTGGCTCTGGCTGCCCATCTACATGGCTAGCTCACACAGACGAGGTGTGCAGGGTCTGATGAAGACGGCAACTAATGGTCATGTGGTACGTTAAGGCTGATGGCGGCCTCTCACAGTGCTCAGATGAAAACAGTCTAACTTTCAGAACAGCACCACGCTCGTCAATGTTTCTTCTCCTCCATCGATCAATCAAAATCAAGTAGGGGAGGGGCTTCTGATATCTGACTCGTCTTTTAGAGGGAGTAATTTCCAGGAGCTGCTGCTAATGCCGGGACAGGATTCCTTTAATATACATTTACTAAATGTTTTCTTGAATAAAAGCAAATATTAAGCACACCTGACCGTCATTACAGAGGGGAGTGGAGGTTCAATTTCGTAACCTAGCAACAATAAGCAGTAAGCATAAGTTTTGTTGACACAGACCTTTAAGTAACTTCTCATTAGGGCATGATTTGGGTTGAGGGGTTTCCTCACTGAGCAATTATCCTTTCTCTAGTTCACAAGTGTCTAAACTTCATACCAAAAAGACAACTGAATTTATGTTTGGCACCAACAGTTCAGTTCAGAGACCAACCGGCAGTGA